ATATATATTTTTTTTTTTTTTTTTTTACAACTTCAATATACACTTCATTACGTTACAATTCTATCATATAATTTAATGCAAAGAGTAAAATATATAACATAACATAAGAATACGTAATTTAACAATTATAATAAAATATAACGTTAGATTAATAAACACTGTTTTTTTTTTTAAATAAAAACTATTGTTTCTTCAAATATAAACATGTTGTTGTAAAGGAGACTCGCAGAAGACTATGAAGTCTTATCATCAAGTACCTTTTCAAATGGTTAAATAAATTTAATTATTTTTTATATATAGTTAAAAGTGGTTAAACAATACACAGTCAGTGATACACATAAACATTTTAGTATAAATCTTGTTGTTAAGTTTAATACATGTCAATAAAATTTTTGATATTAAGTATGAGGTGTTTTAATTTTTTTTTCAAGGTGGCAGAATTATTTAATGCTTTAAGTTCTATATTTTTGGATATTATTTTGTTATATAGGTACGGACCCCGGTAGGAAATAGAGAATCGTGAGAACTTTGTTGTTTTTTTTGGTAATGTGAAGTTCCCTGTTGCTCTTGTGGTATATCTATTAGAGTTAATTTGAAAAAAGTTATCTAAAAAATGCGATGGGACTAGTCCAAGATTGTATTTAAGCATGAAAAGATTATTTTGATAGATGTTGATTTGGTAAACATTCAGTGCATTTAGGGTTTTTAGTAAAGGTTCAGCATGGGTGAGTTTATATTTATTATAAACTAATCTTGATGCATGTTTTTGACTTAAATAAAGAGTATTTAACTTGGATTTGTGTGTACTTGCCCATGCAATATTAGCGTACGTAAGATAACTTTGGATGTAAGAAAAACAAAGAGATTTAAGATTATCTTGGGACAACATAGGTTTAACTTTGTAAAGTATCCCAATATTTTTTGAAATTTTGGTGTTTATTGTACTAATATGGGCTCTCCAAGTTATATTTTCGTCAATAAGTATCCCAAGAAATTTTGTTGTTTCTGTTCTTTTAATGTTTACCTTATCTATTTTTAGTGGGGGAAGTATAGTTGGTATATTATTTTTTTGTTTTTTGGAATGAAACAACATATATTTTGTTTTTTCTGTATTTAGTGATAACTTATTTAATTTCAACCAGATGTTTAATTTTTCAAGCTCTTTGTTCATACATTCATAAAGGTTTTTGATTGAGTTCGAGGAATAAAATAAATTTGTGTCGTCGGCAAACATTATAACATCAAGTTTTTTCGAGGTTTTTGTAAGGTCGTTAATATATAGAAGAAACAGAAGGGGTCCAAGAATGGAACCTTGGGGGACACCGCACTCTATTCTTAGTAGTTTTGAGTGTTTATAATTGTCTGAAATAACACATTGTTGCCTATTGCTTAGGTAGTTTTTGAACCAGTCAAGAGTGATGTTTTTTACTCCATAGCTTTCCAATTTTTTAAGTAAGATATTATGATTTACTGTGTCAAAGGCTTTTGACAGGTCTATAAAGATCCCCAGAACATATTGTTTTTTATCAAAAGAATCACTTATACTATTAATTAGATCTAGGATTGCGTGTTCAGTCGAATATTGTTTTTGGAAGCCAAATTGTTTTTTATTTAGGATTTTATTTTGGATTAAATACTCGTACAATCTGTTGTAGATTACTCGTTCGAGAAGCTTAGAGAAGGTAGGGAGTACCGAGATAGGTCTATAGTTATTAATTAAGTATGATTCACCTGTTTTAAATATTGGTACTACTTTAGCTACTTTTAACTTGTCTGGTACAACTCCTGTTTTAATCGAAGACTTGAAGATTTCAAATATAGGTTTATTTATCACTGTAAAGACATTTGCCACTATCCTACTACAGATATCGTCTATTCCTGGAGTTTTATTTAATTTTAAGGAGTTTAGTGCAACGTTAAGCTCTTGATAGCTTAGTTCTTTGTATTTTAGTTCGCTCTGGGGATCATTTAGATATGATTCAAACGAGTTATTAGGATATTCAATTTTTGAGGCAAGATTAGGGCCAATGTTAACAAAAAATTCATTGAATTTTTCAGCAATTTTATTTTTGTCACTGTACTCTATATTGTCTATGATAATTCGAGCAGGCAAATTATTTGATTTAGTTTTTTTGTTCCCAATTATTTCTTTTATAATGTTCCATGTTTTTTTAATGTCACCAGTTGCATTTTTTATTTGCTTCGAGTAGTAGTTTTTTTTTGAATTTTTTTAAATTTTTTCAAATAAATTTTTGTATTGCTTGTAGGTATTTAGGTTTTTTTCATTTCTATTTTTTAAATATTTGATGTAAAGTTTTTGCTTTTTTTTTGAAGATTTTTTTATACCTCTAGTAATCCATGGACATTGTAAGTATTTTACTTTTAATTGTTGTTCTATAATTGGGAAGTGATTAATATAATGCTTTAAGAATATTTCTAAAAACTCATTATAAGCAGAGTTGGTGTGCCCAAGGTTGCATTTTTGGTAAATCTTATCCCATCTCACTGCCGATAGTGAGTCTTTAAACTGTTGAATAGTAAATTTATTAATTTTTCGTTTATAGACTTTGGTTTTTGAGTTGTTTGTTTTTGTATCTTGAAACAAAGAAAAGTATATCGGAAAGTGATCGGATATATCCGTTTTGATTACACCTGCTTTTAATGAAGAATCATAAAATGAATAAGTCAATATGTTATCTATTGCAGTGATTGAAGTTGATGTTACCCGGGTGGGTTTGTTTATTATAGGGAAGATGTAGTGTTGAAACATATCATCAAAAAAAAATTTTGGTAACAGCATCTTCATTGTACTGTAAACAGTTTATGTTAATGTCTCCAATACAGAATAATATTTTGTGCTCTTTATTGTTTTTTAGAAATATTTGTTTTAGATGATTAGAAAATTTTTTTATATCACCTTCAGGTGGTCTGTAACAGGTGGGCACCAGTATATTTTTTAACTTTTGGTTTATTATTTCAATTGTAAAGACCTCACCATCGGCATCAGAAACAGAAAGATCGTCTCTAACTTTAGTTGTCAGATCATTATGAATATATGTCATAATTCCACCACCTCGTTTTTGAACTTTTCGCTCGTAAGATATTAGTTTGTAGTTCGGAATTAATAAGTTTGAATTTATTCTGGATGATTCGTCAGAACACCAGGTTTCTGTTAAGCAAATCATACTGAACAAAAAATTACATTCTACAAGAAAATGTTTTAGCTTGTCAATATTGTTAATTATACTTCTTATGTTTATGTGTATAACCGTAAAGTTATTATTTAATGATTTTAATTCATTTTTAAAAGTTTTTAAATCAAAAAACCGCGAGTTAAAATTATTTTCATTAAAAAAATGCAAATCTGGGTCGTAAAAGTTATCAAGTAAAGCGTTATTGGCTGATTTGAAAACATTAAAGTGTTGCGTTTCGAAATCTTTTGTTTGTTTAGCCATAAGTAAAAAGAATTAACTTTGCTTCGATCGCTTTAACTTACGCAAAACTTATTTTCTTATTTTCTAAATTCGCGACAATAAATTTTATTAAATTTAATCGTTGCGTATTTACCTTGATTGCGAAGATTTTTAACTTCTTCCCAAAGTCTCTTTCGCTCTTCCATTGTCTCTTTAGCAAAATCTTCATTTATATATATTCCACTTCTTTTAGATTTTTGTGAAGTGAACTTAAGATTTTATTTTTATCTTGGTAGTTCAATAGTTTCACGACGATAGTTCTTGGTGTTTTGTCTTCTTTATACGACCCAATTCGATGTGCTCGTTCCACAATAACTTCGCTTGAAATTTTAAGATTATTTGTAAAAATATTTTTCACAGATTTCTCATATATATATATATATATATATATATATATATATATATATATATATATATATATATATATATATATATATATATATATATTATATATATATTTTTCAATTATTACCCACTGTGCCGTGTATTAAGCATGCAAGAGTAGTTATTTTTCTATTTTTTTGATCTATATAAAATTATTTATGTTAGAAACGCCCTTAGTAACCATAGTATCAAGATTGTAATGGCGCATCTTTAAGAAATAGTATCTTGAGTTATTTTCATCAGAGCATATTGAACTTATATCAGGATATTATAAAGGTCAAATAAGTTGATATGAACAAAGAATTTGAAATTTTGTTGACTCCTGGGTCCCGTAACCTTAAAATACTGTTTCATTTTTATTACCATAGCAATAGTTGTCATGGAAAAACCTTTTGTTTAAAAAGGTTTTGAAGTTTAAGATTTTTTTAATAAGATAACCTTTTTTAAAATTTTTTGTTTCGTTTCGGTTTCCATGGGAAGAGCAGAAAAATATAGCATATAATTGTCTATATTTTTAATGCAAACTATTCACTATAGAAATCTTTTAGATGCCTGACTCATTATGCAGTAAAAACACAGGCTTATCGTAGACAAACCGAAACTTTGTTTCAGAATTGCAAATGATGGAAACACAGCCTGTACGTCAATCCATTAAAAAATTTTGGATTTTATTTTGAACAAAACCCTTATTAATTAGATTGAATTTAAAAAACTTTAGTCTCAATAAAAAATTCTTTATCTGGATACATACTCCTGATATGCCACGTGGCATGCTTGTATTGTGCATGCACTAATGCTTGTAAATAGTTAAAAAGTTAAAAAAAAAATGCATTTTTTTTTTGGGTTCTCAAGAAGTTTGCAAAATTTGATAATTAAAAAATTATTAATTTTTTAATTATCAACTTTTTTAATTTTTTTAATTTTATTACATAACTTATGAAAATTTTATTACATAATTTATGATAAAGTGACATTAAATATATTTTTTTTCATCTCTATCAATTTTTCATTCAAATATGAATATTACTTTAAATTTAAATTTCTATTATCTTTATTATTACCTTGTTACAATTTTAATAATCGTAAGCAAAAAAAAAAAAACAGTTCTCATATTATGTATTTTTATAAAATCATAAATAAAAATTTAAAACAATATAAAATGCTAGAAATGAAAAACAACTAGTAATACAACTATTTTGTTGATAAAACATTATATCATTTATATTTAAATATTGTCGATGGTTGCTAGAAGCTCTTCAATGTAATATGGAACAGTATAGCCAAAAGCGAGAAAATCATCTTTATACATGTAGTATAGCTTTCTAATTTCTGAAGCTTTCAAACTCATATATTGACTTTTCATGTCAATTGTTGAAATTGGCTTATAACGATCTCTTGAATTGGAGAGGAACAAAAACTTTTGAGATATGCCAGCGTTTTTGAGTATTGCGGTGGCGTCTTCAAATAATGTTTCCATTTTACCCAAGTATCTGTACTTAAAACGACACGGAGAGCATAGTTGCGTCATAGGACGCCAATGTTTATCAAAAGGTTTTCCTGATATAACATACTTGATAAATTCTCGAAATGTAACCCCTTCTCCTTTTAAATACTGTTCTTCTGTAAGATCGTTCCGATATAAACGAAGGATTTCTGCACCATACTTTTTTTGATAATGCGTTGTGTAAGGGTCCAAAAATTTATTTCTATACGCTGACAACAATCTTTCAAATGGATGGCGACTTACTAAAAATGAATAATAATTTTTCTCACGGAAAACTTTTTGTGCAGCGTCAAGAGTTGTAAAATTGTTATAATGCAGCTTATGGACCTAAAACAAAATTAAATAACAATTAAAAATTAAAACAAAATCAACCTACGAGTTTTCTTATTTATTCAACTTTAATGGCTTACTGCATTTTTTTCAACAGCCATCACTTGATTTAAATCCATTTTTCCGTCAAATATCTGAAACATTCGCTTCCAAGTTGTACAAGCAGCTTTAGGTATATAGCAGTAAAGAAGACTTTCTTTGTCAGTGTAAATCATGTGTTCATCCATAGTTTTATTTGAAAAGTTAGAGTTTGAACAAAATTTAAGCATTACTGTTTGTCTTTTTTCTTGCTGATCGAAAAGGTTTATCGATTCAAGATTTCGCTAAAAGTTTTGTAAATTCACAGAACAGATTAAAAAACATTCTTGATGTTAATAAATAACCAAATATAGTAAAAAAGTAAAATCTATTGATAAAATAATGTAAAAATATATTTTATAGATTACAATCTCTAGGGTATCTCATATAAATGCTGCACCTTGCTTGGAGCCCACAAAAATAAACTGAAAAAAACATGGCACCGCGCTTTTGAAAAGGTTTTGCTTTAAAAATATTTTTTATAAGTACATTATTTTTTGGTTAATAAATGGAAGTAACTTTTCTCGTAAATGTGGAATTTGTGTTTAAAAAAACATCTTCCTATATTTAAAAGCTACTTAGTAAACAAACATTTTACCTTTACACGACCAATTGAAGACGACATTTTCAAATCGAGGCGATTATTTGTATCTAAGTTGAACACATGATTTTTTTGTAATTTAAAATTAGTAAAATAATATTAGAAGAAAAACGATAAAAACTAAATAAGTTAAAAATAAATTATTTAATTTTACAAATATATAAACTTACTAGCTATTTCTGATTGATTAACTGAAGCACGTATAACCGATTTACTCATAAAGCAAATATATAAGATCCAAATCGATATATATTTCATAGTTTATAAAAAATTAAGTCGTTAAATATTTTGATTAGTCAATTTCTTTAGCTTGATGTTAAGTTTAATATACTTGTTTGTCTAAAAGAAAGGTACCATTTTACTTTCTTTATCGTATTCTATCATCAAACATAAACGTTTGTAAAATAAAATATCAAATCAAATATGAAAAGACACAATATGAAAATAAAACAAACAAGCAAAACCTAAAAAAAATTTAAAAACATTTTTAGAAGCACAACCTTTTATGTTTTGTAAACTATTTTGCCTTTCTTTGCTTAAATATTTAGTATTTATATATGACAGAAAGCAATAAAATAAAATTTTTTATTAATTACAGCAATAACAACTTTCTTCTCGCTTCCTTTGATAAAATTTGAACACTTTTTATTCATAAAGTTTTTGCATAATAAATTTTTTTCGATGCTTGCAGAAATTGATCAGGAAACTTAAAAAGTTTAAAGCCATCTCAGCATTAATTGCAAGTTCGTTCGTTCAAAAGGTCCTGAGCAACAACGACTTTATTATATTTTTTCTCAACTTGAAGATGTGTAAACTGGTGCAAAAAAAAAAAAAAAAAATAGATTTAAACACAGTAATAAATAAAAAGAAAAATAGATTTAAACATAGGAATAAATATAATAATTTTTAAAATAGAGGAGAGAGTATACAAATAACATTTATTGAAAGTGTTATTTTTAAATATATTTACTAAAGTGATTAAAAGTAATCAAAACTGATTTTAAAAAAAGGACCTGCTCACTTTTGCTTGAACAAAATATAAGTGCAATACGATGTCATTATTACTATTGCATTCAATGATCAAAAATAGACGTTAATAAAATGATCAAAAATAGACGTTAGTAAAATGATCAAAAATAGACGTTAATAAAATATAATATTAAATCAAAATAAAAAAAAGCACAACACGAATATAATAAAAAAAGAATTTAAATAATACGAATAAAATACATCATTTTAAGAAGTTAAATATATAATTAAAAATATTTATCAATTACAGCAGGAACAACTTCTTTCCTGCTTTTAATAAAATTTGAAGTTGTTTAGAATTGCAAAATGAAAAAAACAAAATAAAACTAGAATTTTTCAGAGCTAGCAGAGGTAGCACAACAAACATCGCTGCGTTTACTAGGGAAATGTTTACTAGGAAAATGTTTACTAGGGAAATGTTTACTAGGGAAATGTTTACTAGGAAAATGTTTACTAGGGGAATAAAACTTTTACTAGAGAACTAAAACGGTCTCACTGGTGTGCTTTATTTGTACATACATTCAGGATATCTTGTTTAAACTGTTTTTATTAAATTTTTGAGATCCAAAAATATTTAATGTAAAAATAGGAAATAAACTATTAGATACAAAGCAAACAGAGTAGCAGAAAAAACTGTTAAGGATCATCTATAAAGTACGTACGTTTTTATTTCAACTCTCCCCCTCCCCTACATTTTGCAAAACGTTTTTTGAGTACCCTCCACCTCCCTAAAAGTACCTACGCTCTTAACCTACCTACCCAACATTTTATGATATTTTTTTAATTTAATGTCTCCTTATTTTTATAATTAACCGCTGCCCCCGATTTCATATACGCTATTTGCAGACCCCTCTCCCCATCCAAGCGTACATACTTTATGGACGATCCCTAATGTGATATAAAATAATTGAGTAGTCACAGCACTTAATTTATTATTAAAAATAGTTGATAATTGATAGTTACATATAGTTGATTGATAATTGATAGTTACAAATAGTTAATAATTGATAGTTACAAATAGTTGATAATTAATAGTTGCAAATAGTTGATAACTGATAGTTACAAATAGTTGATAATTGATAGTTGCAAATAGTTGATAATTGATAGTTACAAATAGTTGATAATTGAAAGTTGCAAATAGTTGATAGTTGATATTTGCAAATAGTTGATAATTGATAGTTGCAAATAAGCATTTTTGAAGGAAGAAATTTATAACATGTGTCATTGTATGTATAAATTTTATTAAAAACAAACAAACAACAAAACAGGTTGTTTAATGTGGTTAAGAGCACCGAGGAGTACCATTTAACTACAAAGTTCTCGCCATCTTTCTTACCAATGTTGCAAACATGGTTAGAGCTGACTTCAAATCTCGAACCTTTTGTTTCTGAAGCTAGAGCTTTAATAACAACGTTATGGCTGCTCATTTTATCAAATGAATTAAAAATTAAACAATTAAATTGGAAATCAGAAAGTTCTTACGAGAGCAACTTTTTCAAAAGAGTCATTTTTAAACGTAATAGGATGCTATACGTTTAATAAATTACTCTATCATAATGAGAATATCAATATGATATGTTTAATTTTTAATTCATTTGATAAAATGAGCAGCCATAACGTTGTTATGGCTGATACCATTTAATAGTATTTAACAGTTCACTGATTCCTTGATCCACAGAATTCCTGATTACTTGATTCTGTAACGCATTAGCGAGTAATTATAACAATAAAAATAAATTCTATTCACGTGCTTTAAGCAATTAATAAATTAGTTTAGGCGTCATCATCCGGTCAAACATTTATATATTAAATCAAGTAAATAATTATTTTCTTAAATACAAATACAATGCAAATAAGAAAAACTTTTATGATTATCGACATTCGGGGTCAAATACACACAAAAGGTAAAAAAAAAAGAGAATTTTTCATTAAGACAAATAGAAAGATTTTGATTATATAAAAAAGTTTCAACTTTTCGGTTCTGCAAAATTGATTAACATTGACATGAAAGTTGCGTGTCGGAAAAACGAAATTTGTTTAAGAAACAAAATATAGTATTTATTTTTGTAATTTGTTGCGTTCTTTTTTGTATTTTTTATTTGTGTTTAAAATTTTTACTGTTTATTTATTTAATTAAAGTTTTGATACCACAAGAAAATGCTCAAATTCAAATCGTAGACAAAGTTTTCAAAAGTCCATTGTAATGAGCATTGATTTTTAACTATTACTATTATCTATTTCGTGATTAGGTCTGCCCTACCTACAGTAGTAGTAGTAGGTAGTGCTATTTCGTGTAGTAGGTAGTGTAGTGCTATTTCGTGTAGTAGTAGTAGGTAGTGCTATTTCGTGTAGGTAGTGCTATTTCGTGTAGTAGTAGTCGGTAGTGCTATTTCGTGATTAGGTCTGCCCTACCTACAGTAGGTAGTGCTATTTCGTGATTAGGTCTGCAATATCTATAGTAGGTAGTACAGGCATACATTCAAGTGTATGTATTAGATAGTAAAGACTGAATCTTGAAATAAGTAATAGTATGCGAAAGAATATACTATTGACACTATTTTGGTTAGTACATCATTACAAAGTATTTTTAGGCATACATTTGACATTAACGGTTGCTACTTAGAGAAGAGACATTACACAATAACTGAATCTATATTAAGGTTTCTGTGGTGCGTTGGAAGTCTGTCATTTATTATTGGTCAAAAATTTTTGGATTTACAAAGGACACTTTTATGCCAGTCATCACTGATGACCTTTTAAATAATGGGTTAGATTTTATTTTTACTGCTCTTGTCCAAACTGATCCTGGAAGATGTTGCAACTTATATTGCATTATGATTGATGACAGTTTTCTGGTAAGATTGAAGGATGTTTAATGTAGTGAAAGTATAATAAAAAAAAAACTTTGCAAAGAAAATTATCAACATCAAAAAAAATGATATAAAACTAATGGTACAAAATGTGAGGAAATTTTAAATAAAATAGATGATATTAACTCTGAAAAAGTTATACTGCCTGATGAATCTTGTGAAGTTGCAATGTATTTTGCTGGATATTTTGCAAAAAAGTTGATAAAATAGTTTGAAGATTGTAGCAAAACAAAGCAGTAATTCTGCAATAGATTCACAAGAAGCTCTCAGGTGCTTAATACGCGAAGAAGACGTTTACGAATTTTTGAAATTTTTTTACCCACCCTAGGCTTGTTAAAACCCCTCCACGCCCATTTATTAAGTCGTTATCAACAAAAAAATTGCATTTTTAAAACAATAAACAAATCAGATGATCGAGAATTATTAAAAAAGCTTGAAAATGATATAAGTATTTCAAAATCAATAAGAAACCTTTTAATGGTAATGGTTGACAAAATAATATTACAAACTAAAAGAAAACTTCCTGTGTAAACCGGCCTTAACATTTAGGAAATTAAAATTTACTGATAAAAATAAAAATTAAAAAAACATCACCCTTTTATTTCCACCTCACCTTGTTTTAAGTACATGAGAGTAAAGATTGTTTGGATATTTTGTCAAGAGGCGGCCAGATAATAATCTCATCTTGTCGATTACATATTTAAATATAATTTAGTATTAAGTATTATTTTACTTGTTAAAAGTATTTTCTGTTTTATAGATTAAAAAATTGCTTTGAATTTCATCGCAAAATTTATGGCAAGTTTTACCTGCTTTACTTGTTTTTGATAAGGTTCAAATTCCAATTTACTAAGTGATTACAACTGTATTTTACTTCATATTTCAATTTTCATTTACATTTTATTCATGATATAGAAATTGAGTGTAAATCAAAAGATCACAGGATGACGACACGGGTTTTGAAGTGAGAGGGGGGGGGGAGCACAATCATTAATTTGTGAAAAAAGTCCTCTATTTCAAGATTTTTCTCGATATAGAGGATCTTTTTATTAGCCTATTTGATCACTGTATAAATCCAAATATTTTTTAAAGAGCTTTATGACTTTTTACACTAACTTTCTTTCTGATTGGTCTTAACAATTCATAAAAAGTATAGCTTTAATTTATGTCATTTCAACAAACTAAAATCTAGTTTAACAGGGGTGTTTACGTTTATATTTACATTGACACCCCCCCCCCCCCGGTGTTGTCGCCCTGGATCATCATATTTAAGTCTAATATTATGGGTTAGTTAATAAAAAGATTTAAATTTAAAAACTTTTCTGTTTTGTTTCTTACAAAATATATTTTTATATTGATCAGGACAAAAAAAAAATTATACTATTTCTAATGTAACATTTATATTGATCAAGAAAAAAAGATTTCTAATATGTCCTGCATTAAACATCAATTATTATAATAAACAAGAAACATTGTTGAAGCTCGCTTATCCAATTGAGATGTTTTTGTCATTGTAAATATAAACGTAAACACCCCTGCTAAACTAGATTTTAGTTTGTTGAAATTACATAGGTCCCGTACACCGGTAGTTTAATTTTGATTAATTTTCTTTATTTTTGCATTTTGATTATTTTTGTTATAAATTTAAAAAGTTCACAAAGTAGTATCTATTCATAAATTTAGATCTGTAACAAACCTCACATAAGAAAGTAGAGGTAACAACCTACTAGATCATAACAAACCTTTTTTAGTTTAAATAATTAAAAAAAAAAACAGTCTTTAAAAATTCACGTGTAAATTCAAGTGAAACATGAACAGTATATATAAAGTATTTAAATATTTTTTCCTTATCACCAAACGAAATTTATAATATAGATAATATAGTCATTAAGTTTTCCCAATTTTTTTCTTTTTAAATAGAAAAATTAAATGATCAACTGTTATTTTGCTAATAGAAACAATCCTCTTGTTATTAAGAAAATGTTGATAAAAATTATTCCAGAAAGCTTTATCCTATTTTTCTCTTGGATATAGATGAAAAGGATTCATATATTCTAATTATTGAAATATATTATTTCATTTGTAATATAAATTAATTATTAAACTTATTATTAAGTTAAATTAAGCTAAATTAATTATTGAACTCATCAAAATTATTAAAACTATTTGTAATACACATATTACAATTAATTTTAATAACTTTAATGAGTTCAATAATTGATTTAGCTTAATTTAACTTAATAAAAAGTTTTATAATTTATTTATATTCCAAATGAAAGAATATATTTCAATAATTAGAATATATGAATCCTTTTCATCTATATCCAAGAGAAAAATAGGATAAAGCTTTCTGGAATAACTTTTATCAACATTTTACTCAGTGCTAAGCTGAGGTGGCTAGGGGTAGTTTTAATAGTTCGAATTATTTTCTTTATTTTGTCATAGAAGTAGTTAGTCATAGCAAAAGATGTACAAACATAATCCAAAAGTGATAGTTAAGGAATAGTATAACCACCCCTAGCCCCCTCAGCTTAGCACTGAGTAAAACCACCCTTTTCGACCCCTAGTACCTCTCAATCAAGTACCGAGTAAAACCACCCTTTAAAATATTTGTTGAACAAGTGTGATAAAGGATGTTTTCATTAATATTAGCACAGCATAAAATTTATTTACATACACCAAAAAAATATTTTAACTACTTTGATGTATATCGAGCATAAGTCCCTACTTTCTGGTGTAAGTGTCATGATTTCTAGAGTGCACTAAGCTGGATCAATATTGAGACGTAAGTTATTCAAATCTGTTAAACTGTTTTCTGGCACTTTTAAACTTTTATCAAAATTAATCAGAGACGTATCCGGGCCAATTTTGACACCAGTATACCGGTTTGGACACTTAAATTTCCACCCAAACTCCAGTACTTTATAATTGACTTTACTTTTACGTTTGCTCTTACTTTTGCTTTATTGAATACATGCGTTTAATATATTTGGGTGTTTGCAAAAAATATTGAAGATCTTTTTTCTTTTTTACTCAACCTTGCTATAATGAGGAGACATTTGACAAATAACCTTTGAAAGTATTCCTATACTTAATACACTCCCTTAATTTTTCATCATTTTTTGATGCTTAAGCTATCTTTTATAGAGAAACAAATTCCAAACATTTGTTTATGCTTAAGTTAAAATAATTTTTGCTAAAAATTGCAATAATTGGAGCCTAAGAGTAAAAAAACGCAAGAGCAACAAATTGATAAAATATTTTTTCTATTATTCTTAAGAAATTTTGTATTTATCGATAAATAATAAATTTCATAGGATAGTCTCTTAGCGTTCAAAAATTATTGCTTTATAAAATGTTTAACCCCATCAAGTTGAGGAGATTTCCTTATTTTAAGAAAAACAAATTTTCATAAGAAATGCCATTTTGCTGTGTAAGATCTTATAAATTCTTTTTAAAAAATAAAAAATAAACGAAGCCTGTTTTTTCTTAGGGTTTACAATTAATCACAAAATACCAACTTTTTCATTAATTAAAAAAAATCAGAAGTTTGTTCTATAATTGGGATATAGTTTTAGTTAATTTCTCATAATTTAAAGGATGATAAAAAATGAAACAAAATTTCAACTTCAGAAAGCAATTTATATGAGGATGAAGGTATTTGCCGAAACTTTAATGGTAACATACGGAATCGGAAAGAAATTAAGTTTTCTAATTAATTTCAATAATTAAAAAGGTATACTGGAAATTTAATAAAAAAGTTATGTAAAAAATCAAATTTAAACATATGGAACAGATTAAAATTTTCATGTTTTCATAGGTTTTTACGCAATTTTTTTTACGAATTCAATTAAAGCTCTCGCGGTGATATTAAATGAAATGAATTTGTAGCTTTCTGGTAAAAATCGCTTTTGGCGCAAACTGTTTAATAAAAAAAAGTTTCAAGCGCAGTGAACGGAAGTGTTTGTTTTTGAGAGTGAAAAATACTGCCATGGGATCGTCATTAAATTACGCAACGCTAAATATATTTTAAAAACCGAAGTCGGAGATATTAGGCTCTTTTGCGTGGCGATTTTCATTAAACTTAATACCTACTTTGATTTTTTATTTAAATTAAGGCTCTGCGAGGGAAAACTTTTCATCTTTTTATTTTTTATTGCGAAACTTTGTGTTACGTAATTTACGGACGATCCCTAATAAAAGTACTATAAAGGCGCAATTAAAAGAAATCATTAAACACATGAAAACATAATAAAAAGACTAATTAGCAACAAAATTGAAAAACTAGAAATGTAAAAATCAGTTTTACGAAAGAAAAAAAAAATCAAATGATGACCTAAAAAATATGAGCTTTTCTGCGAGAAAAATGAGAGTTTATTGACGAAAATAACTTCTGATTCTAAAAAAACAGAAATAATTTATCAGAAATAAATCATCAATTGAACAAATAAAATAACACAACAATTATAGCATAAAATTAGAAAATAAAAACGTTCTTAAGATAAATTGACTTAGCTAGATAATAAAGGCCGCCAAAATAACTTGAGAATTTATGAGTTAGAAGAACAAGAAAATGAAAATTTGGAAGCAATTTTTAAATCTAAATTGAAAGTAAGTATAAAAATTGATAGTGAAAAAATAAAAAATAAATATTTACACCTTTAAAGACAAGATCACAGTAATAGAAATAGAATTAAAGGTAAATCAAAATCTGTTATTAACGAAGATTTTAGTGAGCAAATTATGGAGATAAAGAGAAAATTATTAAGCAATTGGTCATTGGTCATAAACATTGGTTAGGGCCAACGACACCGGGAGGGGGGGAGGGCAGAGAGCACGTGCCCCCCTCCCCCACTTTTTTTCTGAAAGACCTTATATATATATATATTTTTTTAAAATATTAGAAAATTCTAGATATAAAAGAATTTTTTTAAGAATTGACGGTTGTTCGAAATCCGTGTCGTCGGTCCTGTTGGTCAAAAAATTGCTGTCGATTCATAAAAAATCGTGAAAAATAAAGTATTTAAATGTTCAATTTAATATGGATTTTTAAATAATTAAAAAAAGTTTCACCTTTAATGGAGATGTTTTTTAATGTTTGAAATTATCGTTCAATTACAGTTCTCTGTTCTTTTCCTTTCATTTTCAAAAATTATAGAGAGAAAGTTTATATATACATATATATATATATATATATATATACATATATATATATATATATATATATATATATATACATATATATATATATATATATATATATATATATATATATATATATATATATATATATATATATATATATATATATATATATAAAGCCTATGATACATTAAAAACTTAAAATTTCAAGGAATATAGGTATTTTATTCAAAATAAAAAGCATGCTTAATAAAACTTTAATTCAACTATACCTTTTCTTTAGGCCGGGTGAATAAAAAAAGTAATAGCTTTTACTCAGCGTTTTTTTAGAAATTGCTCAGTTGTACGTAAATAAAAATTTGAGCAAAATCGCTCAAATTTTTATTCTTGTAAAGCTGAGCAATTACTTCAAAAATGCTAAGTAAAACCAACTGCTTTTCTTACTCACCCGGCCTTTTGTTCATTGATCTAAACTATGAAAAAACGGCTTAGGGTTGTGCAAATAAATTAGACCCTCTTCATCCTCAGCAAACACATGCTACACGTCTTATTAATTTCAAAAGACTTTTAAGCCTTGATTTATTAAAATGAATATTCTAAATATATATTAGCTTACTATTTTTAATTGTGTTTTATAATCAAGTGTAAAACTCTCACATGATTAATTCTATTTTACAATTTGTATTATATTAAAAATTTTATTATATATAATAAAATATTGTATATATAGAACAAGTTTTAAAAACTAATTTGCATATGTTTTATATTTTATTTCGAATAGCATTTTTAATGGAACAAAACAGTTTTGAATCATTTTTTTTCAAAAAAATCAAACTGTCATTCAAAATAAAATTAAAAAAAAAAGTTCTCTCGATTGAAAACATACTTAATTTTTTATTTAATTATATTTTTTGTAATTTTTACAAAAAATAATTTAAGGATTGAATAAAAAAAATGTTTTCACACATCAATTATTTTAAACCTTCATAAAAATATTTCATTTATCTACTTGAACATGTTCAAAAGTATGGCACAAAAATGAACAGTTAAAACAACAATTCTTTTACAATCTACATCTTTTTTATTTATATAAGCATTGATTTTATATATTTTTTGTTTTGTAAATTATTATTGTTTATGTATTATTTTATTGAATATATACACCCTCCACACACCCCTACCCCCTAGAATTGCCTCCATATGTATGGTAAATTTTTTCAAAGTGTTTATATTATCAACAATATTCTGTTATTGATTGTTATACTTACTAAAAAGGTGAGTAACTATGAGCTATTTTAAAGTAGGGAAGAAAGAGGGGAGGGGCTAGATTTACTAAATCTAACAAATTTTATGAACGGTGCGTCGAATTTACATAATTTTTTGACTATTGGAAAAATAATTTCAAATACTGAAAAAAAAAATAAATTTTGATTTGCTTTAGAAGATATTAACTAAAGTTTACCGAGCTACTCAACCTGGCCTAACGGGGTAATTTTAGATATTGTGAAAGGGGCAAATTGGCATTCAACAATAATTGAATATGCATAATATGGAACTTAAATAAATCTTTAAATGATGTGGCCAAGAGAGCTGTAAGTTCAGGAAGCATTGTCATAATGATTGACCATTTTGTTGATACCATACAATTACACTTACCAAGAAATGGATATTTGCCAGATAAGGTCAGAAAATGGATTATCATATTCTTGGATCATAAATTGCTTTTTCAAACATTCTTTTACTTTCTCACTTCTACACGAACGTTTTATTGGTTTGAGTCAATCTTTTTAAAACTACAACTTTTTTATTAAAAAGAAAGATAAATTTGCTTTACAAAAATAAAAAATTCATTTAATATGGTTATTAAAATATTTCAAAACACCTCACAGATCATTATCATTACAGACAGTCTTTATTAAAAACAAAAACTTCAAAAGATGGTCCAAGTAAAAAGCAAAAAAAAAATAAGTAATACTAATTATTTATTTTTTTAATGGTAAAACACGAAGACAGATAAAAAAAAGATCAAATTTTTTTTCATTAAAAGAATCGAAGAAACCCTTCGATTCTCAACTTTTATTTAAAATACTGAATAAAAGAAATTTTCAAATCAAATGTCATTTATATTCTTACAATGTTATTCCAATTTCTCCAATTCAAAATCATAAATAGTTAGTTTAAAAAAAATATGAATAAGAAAATACACCGAAGAAGTGAAATATAAAAAGTAAAAATTGCAAAATGTTCTAATTATTTGTTTCTGATAAATAGAATTGTAATTATAAAGTATTTAACACTGAAAGTGAGTCTTACCTTTAAACAACAATCTATTAAATATCGCTTTCAGAAATATCATACAAAACTATTTTTTCAAAAAAAAAAGTTTTAGTCAAAATGTTTAACGGAGTCAAATAAAACTGTTAGTAAAATTTTGTAAATAAGCAATTGTAACAGCGTTATGGACGTTAATGTAACTGATCATTTTGAAAAAAGTAATGAAGCTTACTAAACAATGATTATTAAAGCTTATACTTTAGGTCATTAAGCTTATACTAATAATTTTGACGTCTTTGTTTAGACGTCTTTGCTTTGACGTTCTTTTATTATTATGACACCCTTCTTACGCTCAATCATTGCCGTAAAAGTTGCTCATTTATAAGCAACTTTAATTTTAATGACTCTAAAACATAATAATTTCTTTAAAATGTAAATTGGATTGTTTAATTAGAATGGCCATCAATAAAGCGATTGCGCATTTTTTGTAGAAGTATAGAGGCACGAAGCTAAAATAGTTTTTGGCTTTAACATAAAATACCTAGCGTGTAAAATTAATCATTTAAATTTTCTGTGTAAAATTAATAATTTAATTGTTTAGTGTAAAGTTTTTTTTAATAAAAGGCCTAGCTTGGTTTTCAATGTAAAATTAATCATTTAGTTTTTTTTAATATTAACCTTTTTTTATCTAAAAATGTCTAGTATTATTCGTAAAAAATAAAAATATAGAAAAAACAATTTTGAAACGGACCCAGGGTTCCGTTTCAAAATTGTTGTTAGGGGCGCATGGACTTTTTGAACGTACACAACCCATAATATCCATCAATACCATTGACTGTAAACGTAACAATTCTTCATTGTACCTATGGACTTTGCACAGGTACACAACATCTAGGGCCGACGACACGGGTTTCGAAGTGGGGGGGGGGGGGGAGGGCACAATCGATAATTTAAAAAAAAAGTCTTCTATATCTAGAATTTTCTTAAAAAAAAAAATAAAAAAAAGGTTCTTTAGAAAAAGTAATGGAAGGGGTGGGGGTGCAAGTGATCCCCCGGTGTCGTCAGCTCTGTCATGGAATATCCATCTAAGTCAATGACAGAAAATGTTGAGCACCAAAGATTTTTAATGATTAAGATTTTTGATTTTATGAATCTGCAACTAAGTAGATCTCGATCCGATGTGCTCCCGACATTTTTAGCCATTGATTTTATTGGATATTTAAGGTTGAATTAATACGTTTACAGTCATTGACTATGATTAAACATGTTTTAAATTTACTTCTTACTTTTTAGTCCATTTCAAAAATGTTGTTTAAAAAAAAATTTTTTTTTAGATATTTTTTACTTTTTAGTCTATTTCAAAAACATTGTTTGTAAAAAGTTTTTCTTTTATTTTTATGAAACTTTTGAGTTCTTTTAAACGGTTTCCGCGTTTCTCGAGTAACTTATAACAATTTTCACGTTTCTTTAGTAAATTTTAATGATTTCTACGTAGGGTTCGGACTATTGTAATTGTAAAAATTAAATACAATAACACATTACAATACAATTGGTATACAATTACAATTGTATACCAGTATTGTATATGTAATACCAGAGATGTAATTAAAACATTATTTATGGTTATTGTATTGCTATGATTAAAAACAGTTACGGTAACTATAGTGTTGTTTTTTTTCTAACAATACATTGAAGCTCTTAAACTATTGTATTGTATTGCTGTGATGTAAAACAATTACAATAACTATTGTATTGTATTGCTGTGATGTAAAACAATTACAATAACTTTTGTGTTGTATTGCTGTGATGTAAAACAATTACAATAACTATTGTATTGTATTGCTGGGATAAAAAACAATTACAACAAGTACTGTGGTGTATTGTATTAGTATTTCAAAGTCCGATAGCTATTGTATTTTAAAGTATTTAGATTCTTTTTCTCCACATTTATTATTATTTGGGCACTAAAAAATTTAGAGGTGCCCGTGACGCTCGTTTTTAGCAGTCGTTTATATATTTATTTTGAGAAGCGAAGTAAAGCCAAAGAAGTATATATATTACGTATACTTAATAAATATTAAGTTCAGGGGCGCTCGTGGCACCCGTTTCTAGCAACTATTTACATATATAAATTTTATTTATTTTGAGTTCAATAATATAACTGTTTAAATAATAATTTATTTAGAGTTAACATTAGTAATATTAATTCAAAATCATACAAATATATAATTTATCATACGCTTGTAATTAAATAGTTATTTACTTTGTGATTTGATTTTTTTATAATTTTGTCTAGAAATGTTTCACCGGGTGATGACGTCTAAACTAATTGATTAACTACATAAAGCGCTTAAAAATATATATTTTTTTTCAATATAATTAACCGTTAATGTGTAATAAATTACAGCGTTATGGAATCAAAGAACCATTGACCTGGGTATTTATCGATTAGGTTGTCTAAAAATGTGAACTACTTTTGTTTTGTAAAAAAATGTTCTACATTTTCAGATATAAATAAACATTTGATAATAAACATTTACGACAATGAATTAATTTAAACATAAAATTAAAGCTATGCTACCCTTTCTCTATCCTGATCTCGGATTACGAAAGTAGGTAATATAAGTTAGTTCTCTACATCAATGTATAAAAAATAACAGATACTTTTAAAATTTATGGAAATACAATTTATGAAATAGAATGGAAAAAAAAAATTATTGATTTATTCGATTTCTTAGGCAAATCAAAACAACAATTATTAAGTTATCACGTGGCTTTTAAATATTATAACTTGATTTAACAAAATAGATAAAATAATTCATAAAAAAAAAAGATGCGCAAAATTCAAAAAAATGCATCAAATTCCGATATTACACTTTCTTTATAATTGTCTAAATAAACTTGTTCCTCAGTTGTTTATAGAAAATTTTTAAACAAATCTTTTTTCTATTAAATAACTATATTTTGACATGAACGGAAGATATTTTGACGTGATTATTTCAATAAATTTACTCAGTTTTGGCAGTTAAAAAAAAGCGTGGGGATATTTAATAAAAGAGATTTTTTAATCATAATTGAATTATGTATATTATTGAATAAATATAATATGTTCTATAAATAAATGCTTTATTAATTAAACTCAGCATCCGAATATGTAATACACATACATTTGTATGTAATTGTAATGTAAATGTGTCACATAATTTGTATGGAATACGTATTACACATGATTTGTATGTAATGTGTTTACAAATAAATTCTTTTTCTATTTTACAAAGCCTAAGTTAAACATCTGTTTTATTCACTTAATTTGTCATTAATAGTTATAGCTAGGACAAAGAAACAAAAGAAAACTTAGTTATAATTTTGGAACACCAAATTATTTCTATATTAAATTTGAAATTTATCAACGATTTTTAATGCTTCATTTTTATTTAACTTTGGGGTTTTCAGAAAACCTATAGTGCAAGCCAATCATAGTGCTAGCATAGAAAGATTTTGGGCTTGTTCACCTTAACTATTTTCTAAACTTCATTATAGTAGAATCACTTAAAATCACTTAAATTTTCTTGTTTTTTTTTTAGTGTCACTCGAAAACGGTAAAAAATTTTAAAGAGCTAACTAAATAAAAAATAAAAAGTGTTTACTATTTTTTTCATATTTTCACTAAATGATTTTTGGTAAAAGTTAATAAATAATTTTATAAAGTAAAATTAACCGTTAAATTTTATTTGTTAATACTTGTGTTTGGTAACTTTAATGGGTAGTTTGTAGTACTGTAGCCGTCGATTTGATTGTCTCAATAGTTTTTAAGATTAGGTTTTAAAAATGATGCATTTAGTTTCAGGTAAAAATAAAATAATGCACTGTTGCTTTCTAGCTTTACCAATCATAAAAAAAAAAAAAAGATGAGCCGATTTACTAAACGTCATCACTAAATCTTTTGTTTAAAGATAAAAAAGCATTATAAAATTTTTAAATTTAAAACCAGATTTAAAAACCAGATGATTTAAAAACCAGATGATTTAAAGACCAGATGATTTAAAGACCAGATTTAAAGTTTTCAATCTTAAGATTGCTTGCTTATTATAAAAAAAAACTTTACGTAACTTACATGCTAAAAGATTTTAGAATTGGTAAGATTTTTATTAATTTTTGCCATTTTTACTTTTGGGTTTTATTTCTATGGAAGATTTTAATCTTTTTTTTCCTACAACATTTTTTTGTAATAATTTAAGGATGAATAAAAAGTAATTTAAGGATTGAATAAAAAAAATATTTTCACACATCAGTTATTTTAAACCTTCATAAAACTATTTCATTTATTTACTTGAACATATTCAAAAGTATGGCACAAAATTAAACAGTAAAAACATTTAAAAGAAAAAAAAAAAAAAAGAAAGAAAAAAAAAACACACACAAAAAAACATTAACAAACCAAAATAGAATATTAATTTTAAAAGAGCGTTAAAAATCTATAACTATTGAGTTTATAAGGGGCATCCATAAAATACGTAGGCAAAAAAAACAACACTATTTTAGGATCCTCCCTTCCCCATGTACGCGACTGTATGCCCTAAATGCCTCCCTCTGCGTACGTACGCATAATTTATTACAAAGTCATGTCATCAAAGTCACTCTTCCAAAATCATTGTTTTTAAAAATATTATTATATACTTTAAAGATATCACATAAAGAAATCAAAGTTTAAAATAATTAGAGAACAAGAGATAGTGAAACCGCGTACATACTCGCTGTCTTTAACACCCTTTCCTTGAACGCATTCGTACGTTTTTGGGTAACACCATCCTCTAT